TTTAGAAAATTAATGAGATTTGATGTGTAAAGCCTTCCGGAGTTAGAGGTCTACAATGAAAGATGTTCTAAGAGCTTTTTCTCATGGTAACAGAGGAATGTAAAATATGACTGGACTTGTCTTGATGTTATCTGAGGGGAAGGGGAGTGATAGCTTCTAATAGTATCATCCTTTTGGGAACTGCATCTTAAGCCACTGTTGAGGAGAAATGGGCAGGATTGGGTCTTTGTGGTGGGAGTGGAGGCAGTGGAGGTCTTGCTGGGAGCTCTGTGGGTTTCTGCTCTGAGTAAGGTTCAAGCAAACTGTGAGTAGTGTGGTTTGGGGGAGGGTGGAGGAGAAGGTTTGCTCCTAGCAATAATATTAGAAGTTGTCCTTAAAAATGTCATAAGCTAGGAATGCCTGGATGGCTCAGTCAGTTGAGCATGTGACTCTTGGTTTCTGCTCAAGGCATGATCTCATGGGTTGTGGGATCGAACCCTGCATGGAGCTCTGTGCTCAGCCGGGATCTGCTTGGGATTCTCTCTCCTTCTCCCTCTGCCCCTCCTCCCACTTGTTCTCTCTCTTTCTAAAGTAAATAAATAGATCTTTTTAAAAATGTCATAAGCTAATGCTAAGATGTATTAAAAGACAAATTGAGGCATACTAGACATTTTTGAGCAAAAATTGATTTGAATCAGAAAGCACCATACTGGAAATGATTAGGAGTTCCCTGCCTTATACAGAGAAAATGTAGAAGCAAAGAAAGGAAATTATTTCATTGGCGATAGCTTAAATCCTAGTTGGCAATTTGTGACTGGTTGTCCTTAGTGTTTTGATTTTGTAACTCTGAAGCATTTACAGGCTTACATTTTGGTTTACTCACTATGACAATAGAGCCACCTCAGTATAATAGTCTCCTTGTTTAATTAATTTAATAGGTGGTAATCATATTGCAGTATATAGCAAATCAACATGTTGTACACCTTAAACTTGCATAATGGTATATGTCAATTATATCTCAATAAAAATTTTTTTAAACATGTTAAAGAAAAGTCATGAGATTCACCTGCCCTACAGATATTAAAACCATTTAAATTAATAAATAATTAAAATGAGGTGTTAATGGTATAAAAAGATATGTCTTGATCATTGGAACAGAACTAGTACATTAAAATTTTACAAACTAAAGGAGAGATAACAAAACAATGTGAAAAATGAGGATTAAGAAACCACATAGACAATTTGGCTTAGCTAAAATTTAAAACTTAAGAAAAATAAACTTTGACACAAAAATACACCAAATAAAATAACAGATATAAGGAAGCTTTAAATATATAAATAGAAATAGTTTGGCTATGAATCAGATATCCAAAAGAGAAGACAAATTTTTAAGTTTAACAATAGAGAAAAGATCAAAAAGATAACCATATATTTTGTTAGATACAAGTTTTAAATTTCAGTATGTCAGTAAGTAAAAATAATATAATTAACCATTTTGACAGTTATTTTTAGAAAGCTACCTAGAAAAGATACATACCTTTGTATACTTGTTTATATCTTGTTATCTTAATTATATCTTGATTCTAATTAAGATTCCAGTTTTTAAACTACCAGTCCAAAACAAACAACAATTACCCAATAAACAGTAGGGGCACCTGGGTGGCTCAGTTGGTTGAATGTCTGACTCTTGGTTTTGGCTCAGGTCATGATCTCAGGATCATGGTCTCAGGGTCGTGAGATCGAGCCCCACATCAGCTCCAAGCTCAGTGCAGTCTGCTTATCCCTTACCCCCCGCACCTGCCCCACTTGCTCTCTCTTTCAAATAAATAAATAAAATCTTTAAAAAAGAAAAATGTAAGTAAACTACAGACAGTAAACAAGTTGTAGAACAATGTCAAATCTAGCTACTATCATAGAAATATAAAATAAAGAACTATTTTTAATGTTAAATTACCAAAATATTAAATGATAACCGGTTAGTTGATTCCTGGAATTTTATTCTAAAGAACTAATTCAAAATAATAATAAAAAGGTCAATGTGTAAAAAGGTAATCATCTTTCCATTACTTATAATAATAAAAAATTGTTAATCTCAAAATAAGTGAATAGAATAATAGGCAGCCATTAACAATAAAGTTTATGAAGAATATGTAGCAGAATGAAAAAGACTATGTTATAATCCAAAGTAAAAAAGCATATACTCATTTTACATGACTACAAGGATATAAAAACCACAAATGACTAAAAGAGATTATATAAAGATGTTACTTGTTAAATCGTGGTGGCAAAATTATGGATGATTTTCCTCTGTTTCCAAATTTTTAAAAATAATGTTGTATAGGTTTTGGTAACACCATGCATCTTCCCTTTATGTTTGCTTCAGAGATGTTGGCCTAAGTGGGTGAAAAACACTAAATTTCTTCTATGAATTTCATAGCATCCCTAAATTTTGTAATATTGTAGAAAACTATAATGACATTAAGGATAAATGGCATATTTGCTGTACTTAAGAGAGTTGGAATATTGACGATGAAAGAATTTCAAAGGCACCATATCTCCAGCTGCATCCGTACGTCTTCGAAAGATGCTTTGACCTTTAAGAAAGAACAAAACCTCTTAGAGTTAATCAGGAATTTTCTAAAATTGATACCTTGAAAAGTTTACTTCCTGGTGAAACCTTATTATCTGAAAGAAAGAAAGATAGCAGAGTCCACAGTTATACAAGTCTTATTTTAAAATGTCTTCTAGTAGCTAATACTATAAAAGATGTGCCATGTTTATTTCATGATGGATAGTCCTCAAAATATTGCTCTTCTGCATTATATTATCACTTTATCAAAATTCAAAAGCTATATGAGTAGAGGGCCATATGAATCTAATCATATCTTAAATTTTCATGTTCAACAAGCAGCTGTATAAACCATAGGGAATCTCACTGAAATGTCCTCTAGCAGTTTTAATGCAGATGGCAAAATACAAACGCTTTGTTACCGAAGCATAAATAGACACCACGGCTTCATGACAGAGAATGATGCAAAGTCAATCTGTAGAATCATTCAGCGTGTGTTCCACAAGTGGGAGGCAGGGAAAAGCTTCAACATAAAAACAGCTTAGAACCACATGCTTATAAGAAAAGTTCAATAGGTATTCAGCTGTAACTTCCTATTTTACATGGAGCCTGTATTTCTTGGCTTGGATGAAGTATATTCTAAATCTCTTTGTCTTAGTCCTCCTGGATATAATGAAACAAAGGAGTGGGTGTAATGCAGAGGGAATGTGTGTTTAGACTCCACAGGAGTTGTTCCATTTTGTTATAGAAAACAAAGCTTTTGATAGCCCAGCCTCAAGTGTTTAAAGCAGCCTTAGAGAAGCTGAATACAGCTGTCCTCTGCTATAAGCCCTTCGCCTGGAGACTTGTAAAGCCTTTGCTCAATAGAGCAGTCCTCAGAGGACATCCCACCCAGTTCTCTGTCTCCATTTTCCTCTTTTCTCAGGTGACCCAATTCTGTGTCCTCACATCCCTGAGTACAGGCAGATCAGTAGTGGTTCAAATCATCAAGCTCCTGGTAAAATAAGCCAAATTAAAGGGATCCAGAAGAAACATTGTTAGTGCTTGCAAATAGGGTGAAGCCCTATGTTTTTGCATGCATATTGATCAGAACACTACCATAATCTTATTGGTAAGAGCACAATTTAGATGACATTTTATTTTTTATTTTTTTAAGATTTTATTTTAAAGTAACCTCTACACTCAATGTAGGGCTCAAACCCACAACCCTGAGATCAAGGGTCTCATGCCCCACCAGCTGACCAGCCAGGCATCCCTAGAAGATATTTTAAAGATAAGTTTATTGAAATGTTGCTTGTTCTTTTCTGCCATTCTAATGTTCAAAAAGCTTGGCCATTTATTTGCATTATTATGACACTAGTCTTGTGATTTAGGCTACATTCATAGTAAGCAATTAAGGCATGCCAATTTCCAACCAGAATCATGATCTTGATGATAATTCAAATACTGTCAAATCATCAGAGGGGTTGTTCAGATGTTGCGGAATGATTGGTTCTTGAAGATATGGAATACTCAAGGGGTACCTCTCTTCAAACCCTTGACATGGGACTGAGATCACTACAAAGGAGACACCAATGCATAGTCATAATGAAGTGTACTAAATGTGTTTTAAAACACACTGACATATATTACAGTAAAAAAAATAATTTAAGAAACATTTTCAAATAATATTTAGAAAACTAAGTTCTTCATTCCCATTCACAAATGTGCTTGCCCATCCTCGCTTTTATTTCTTATTCCTATAATGGCTCCATGACCTTCTAAGTTATTGGAGTCTAATAAAGGATGCCTAATACCCAGACGTCTTCTTTCACTCTCCACCGCTTTCTCTACCTACCTAGTCATCACCAAAGCACTCACCTGCTCAAGGTCTCTTATGATTTTCCCTCCCAATGCCATGAGTCATTTATAATCCTTCACATATGCTATTACATCATCTCTCCTTTTCTTCTGCTCACTTCACTCCATACTGCTGAGAAAATCACCCTCCCAAGCATATTCACTAGCATCTTCAAAAAATCTTTGGTAACTGCACATCACACACCCCTTATGTGAAAGTCAAAGCCCACCATGATGATGATAACCATCAGATTTCTCAACACTTCTTCCCATTTCCCCCTTCCATGTACTTTTTGCTTTCAACAAAAGTGCTCTCCTGCTTCTGTGCTTTTGTTCAATCTGGAATTAGTGCCTAGTCTTTTCTTTTTCTGCCCATTTAGCATCATATTTCCAGAAACTTTCCCTAAGCAACCAATTCTAAACATTTTGGCCAATGGTACCACTTTTTGTAGCACTCGCCCTTTCATACGCATGTGTCCTCAAACCAATAAAACTAAGATTTTTGCAGGCAAAAATTATGCCCTGTCCCAAAGTATTCAGCCCAGCGGTTTAAACATAGTAGACACTCAAATATTTGCTAAATGCCTGATGCCCTTTGCTTTTTCTTTTTCAGTGGCACCACCCCCCTATAGTTATGACCATGAGATGGAATACTGTGCCGACTTGCCACCTCCCTACTCCCCGACCCCACAGGCTTCAGCACAGCGTTCTCCACCCCCTCCTTACCCTGGAAATTCAAGAAAACAATCCTTCTCCCAGAACAGAATATGTGCCAATCAGAGATCTTGCCTGGAATAAAATGTCTTTACTCAGAAACAGGAAAGGATTGCTCTAAGGAATACTTTTTTGGGTCAAACAATATGTCAGGTGGAATATCCAGGCTAAGAAATACTGAGTTTTTACCCCTCTCTGAGCCGACCCCATCTGGAATACTGTTTGGATCAATGGTATCACATTTGAAGAGAGGTACTGATCAATGCAATCACATTCAGAGAAGAGTAATGAGACAGACAAAACATCTGAAAATCATATTGCTTAAGGAAACTGCAATACTGATCCTGGAAAAGAGAAGAATGATGTAAGAGAGGAGAATAGCCTGGAGTACATAAGGAAACAACTATATTCTGTGTAGCTTTAAAAGTCAGAACTAGAATTATTCATTCTTTTGTTCATCAATAAATACTGTTCAAGTGCATGAGAGCCTACTCTGTGCCTTTCACTGTTTAAAGCACTGGATGGAAGCTACAGAAACTTTGGTTTCTGGATAAGAACAAGGAACTTTGGTTTCAGGATAAGAAAGAGGAGTTGGACCTTCCTTATTGACTAGATTGTTTTGTGAAGTTTCCTATTACCAAGACTTCAAACAGAATCTATCTGGAAGAGACATGTTCTAGAAAGGACAGCTAAATCAAATGGTAGATGGGTCCACTGGGCCCCAAACATTCTGCTCATGGTTTAGTTAAGTGTGAAGTAAATTTCTGTGCCTCCAAGAATGAAAACATTTAGAACAGTTTAATCTTATCTATTTAATTTGACAAGTTAAGACAGGATCAAAGGGACTCAACAGCTGCTTGAAGCCAAGAATTCTTCAGTGCTAGCTACTGCCACCTAAAAATCATCTGACTTTAATTAGTGTTTTATTATGACAAAAGTTATTCCAACTGTGGGAAAAAAACACTGTATCAAGTTCTACAAGCAACAGATACTTCATTTCAGATTAAAAGATTAGAAGCTGAATATTCCCATGGGATTTTACATCAGGGAGTAAAACTGTAGAACTTGATCGTGAAGATATATAACAGTTTATGAAAAGAAGAAGGGAAAATGAAATTTGCATTCTGTTCTGTGGAATTCCATTCATATGTAGCTTAGACAGATTTGTTTCCCTTCTGTAATATTTTGAAAATATATTCCCTTGAAAAAGTTATACAGTTAATAGAAAGGTTAACACATTGACATCAAACAGTTGCCTTTTCCAAATGTTATGAAGTGCCTACCTTAAAGTATAAAATTTTAGCTAAATAATCCAAAGTGCTGTATTTTGCTGCAAGTGACCTTAATATTTATATTTTTAGGTGGGCCCTTTCATATATTTAAAATTTACATTGACAAAATATTGGGGGAGAGTGATGCCACCAAAATGATGACATACATCATTCCTGAATTTGCTCCCCCTCACAAGAACAATTAACAGCTCTCCCAAAACAAGACATCATAGAGAGAATCCTAGAACACAGGACTGAGGCTGAAGAATACCCCACACACAGACTTCAGAGACCAAGGTAGACTGTATTGTAAGGGTAGGAGAAGTTACTGCATGTTGACTGTATTGCCCGTTCCCCAGGACAGTGCAGCATCATGGGGAGAGGTGATTCCTGAGCCTCCAGTTCCTCCAGTGGAAAAGAGAACCCAAGAGGGAACAACCAGCACTGGCCCCCCAGCATTGTATGTCACTCTGTGAGCACCCCTACTCTCATCCAATACCACTGGAATTGCAGGGCTCAGCCACTGGAAATATAACTATGACAGAGAATGAGGGAGGAGCTTACAACAACCAGCACGTGGATGTCGGCAGACCAAGTTCATATTGGCAGTGCCCAAATAGTAATCTCAACCAGTGGCTTTGCTCCTCTGTAGAACTAAGCTAGAAGTACACTCTGGGGAACTTGGAGAGGTATAGATCTGCCTGATTCAGATCCTCAAACAAGATGTTTGCCAGCCCTACAGCCCAATTTGCTCATACCTAGGCAGGGTACTGAGTCACAGCCCCACACACTGTGGAGAGTGCCTTCAGCACCATCTGACCAGAAGGGCTAGAGACAACTCCTGGAAGCTGTGTGGCCCAGCGGCACTTGAGCTAAGAGAAGAGCAGACAGAGCCAGTAGTTTGCAGAGCCATTGGCCTCATTTGGCCAGGGAACTTAAGGCGTGGGTCTTCTTGAATTAAGACAACAAAGAGCTTTACCAGTTTTACAGCTGCTTCTCCTATTGCACACAGAAAGGGAATCTAATTCATGGCCTTGCTCATGGCTAAATATAGCCTTCAGCTATCTGACCAGGGAACCTAACCAGAGCACAAGGGAAGCCATATAGTCCATCTAACAGCCCTACATACAGTGGTACTTGAACAGTGAGCACAGCTTCCTCCATCTGCAGAGCATCACCTGAGCAGGGAATTCAGTGGACACTCAGGCCTGATTTGAAGCCCCCAAACAATGACCTCTATGTGCCCTGAACCTTAGCTTCTGCCCTGCCAAAGCAGGGAAGCAGGGAACATAACTCCATCTACTACTGAATACAGACCCAGTCCCAACTGTCTAGTAAGCCTGAGCAGAGAATAAGGCAACTGAGGACCCCATCCTACAGCCTCATTTGGATAGGGAACAAAGCCAGGAGTCATATCCAACTATTTTCATCCAGTGCTACAATACCCCATCCCTGTCCTCAGAATTTGAATAGTTGCCTTGCCCAAAGCAGTCCATAATAGCAGGCCCTGCCTGCCCAAAGACATTACCAACAGACACACCCAGATAGATAAAATGAGCTGACTAGTGAAGAACTCTCTGTGCCAAAGCAAACCTATAAAGTCTGGAAGAAGAGATTAATTACTCAAATTCTCAGATACCAACACAAGAAATCAAGGATCTTGAAAAATCAGGTAAATATGACGCCACCAAAGGAAACTAATAAAGCTCCAAGAACTGACCCTAAAAAAAATGGAAACCTATAAACTATCAGACAAAGAATTCAGAACAAATCTCTTAAAGAAGTTTAGTGAACTTTGAGAGAACAGAGACAGAAAACTAACAAAATTAGGAAAACAATGCATGAACAGGAGAAGTTTGACAAGGAAATAGCAACCATCAAAAAAACAAAAACAGAAATCTTAGAGTTGAAAAATACAATAAATGAACTGAAGAATTCAATAGAGAGTTTCAAAAGTAGATTCAAACATGCAGAGAAAAAATCAAAACCCTGAAGGAAAGGATATTGGAAATTACCCAAGGAGAAAGACAAAATTAAAAATAGCAAAGAAAGCCTATGGAAATTATATGACAATGAAAAGAAATAATACGTGCATCACAGGAAGTCCAGAAGGAAAAAAAGAGAAAGGGACAGAAAGCAATAATGGCTGAAAACTTCCTGAACCTGGGGAGAAAAATGGATATATAGATCCATGCGGCCCAAAGGATCCCAAACAGTTTGAACCTAAGGATAGAGGGCTACACTGAGACACATTATAATTATATAGTCAAAAGTCAAAGACAAAATATTTTTTAATAGCACCAAGAGGAAAGAGAGAACTTACATACAAGGAACCCCCCCATAAGACTATTGGATTTCTCAACAGAAACTCTTCAGGCCAGGAGAAAATAGGATGCCATATTCAAAACATTGAAAGAAAATAACTGTCAACCAAAATTCTATACCTGGAAAAGCTGTCCTTCAGAAATGAAGGAGAGATAAAGACTGTCTGAACAAACAAAAGCTGAGGGGGTTAATTACAACCAGACCTACCTTACAAGAAACAAAAACACAAAAAGGTAACATGAATCTCACTGGCAATGACAAATATATAGTCATAACTGGATTCTGCAATATGGTAATAGTGATACATCACTCACTCACAACTCTAGTTTAAAATTTTTTTAAAGGAATGTAGCAAAAATAACCATAAATACAATAATCTGTTATTAGTTACACCAGCTAAAAAAAATAAATTATAACAGCAATAATCTAAAATGTGAGGGGCAGAAGTAAAAGTATAAAGTATAAAAATTGTATTTATTAATAGGCTTAATATAGGTTTAAAATAGGGTGTTATGAGTTTAAGATATATTATGCATGCCTCAGGGTAACCACAAGGGAAGATCTTGAGGTAATCACACAAAAGAACACAATAAATAAGTCAAAGCATACTGATACCAAAAAAATCGAAACACAAAAAAAGAAAGAAGGTTAAGAAAGAACAAAGGATCTACAAAAAAATGAGGAAAAAAATTAACAAAATGGCAATAGTAAGCCCTTACCTATAAATAATTACATTAAATGTAAATGCATTACATTCTTCAATCAAAAGACATAGAATGGCTGAATGGATTTAAAAAACAAGATCCAACAATATCAACCTAAAAGAGACTCACTTTAGCCTTAAAGACACACATGGACTGAGAGTGAATATGAACAGACAGAAAAAAGACATTTAAAGCAAATTGTGCCAAAAAAAAAAAGCAGGGATAGCTATATTTATATCAGACAAAATAGACTTTGAAAATAGTAAAAAAAAAAGTCAAAGAAGGTCATTATGTGATGATAAAAGTGCAACACATCAAGAAGATATAACAATTATAAATACTTAAGTGCCCAAGATAGGAGCACCTAAATATATAAAGCAAAAACTAAGAGCTAAAAGGAGAAATAAACAGTATTACAATATTTGAGGACTTTATTACCCCACTCTCAACAATGGATTGATCATCCAGACAGAATCAATAAGGAAATAGGAGAACAGTGGATTTGAACAACACCATAAGACCAAATGGACCTAACAGAAGTATACAGGACATTCTAGCCAACAACAGCAGAATATACACTCTTCCCAAGAGTACATGAAACATTTTCTTGGACCGACCATATGTTAGGCCACAAAACAAGTCTTAGCAAATTCAGGAAGACTGAACTCCTACCAGGTATCTTCTCTGATCGCAATAGTATGAAACTAGAAATCAATAACAGGAGGAAAACTAGAAAATTCACAAACATATAGAAATTAACACTGCCCTCAACAACCAGTGGATCAAAGAAGAAATTAAAGGGGAAATAAAAAAGTTTATCGAGAAACAAAAA